AATTTGCCGGAAAGGACAACCAAGGAAATAAGGAAAGTAAGGCAAGGTCCTTCTCATCCAATCATGTGAGGGCTTGTGTTTACGAATCGATAGTCAAGTGCATACATGACAGAGTTCTTCGTCGCTAGATGCTGGTAGCTCCGGCACGCAATGAATGAAAATGGCTCTTTCTCTTCTTTAGGTGCAGCAGTCGGAAGTATTTTTGTCTCGCTGGCGTTCACTTCATGGAACATCCGGAAAAATGCGTAACCCACTGTCTTCAGTCCACAGGATGTATGCCGACAAAAACGCCGTCTCAACATAATCTGTGGATCCCAATGTTACCAGCATTAGCCGGGACTCCCCGTAGTGAATCAAGGTTGGATGTCTAATGATGCACATTATAAATCAATAAATGTTTTATTCTCACCAATGCGAGACATGACTGCAAAGGCATGGTCATGCTGATACAAACTTTAAGGACTGGTAAAGATAACCGTAAAAGTTTTTAGCAATGGCATATGGATCAATGTGATAAGTGTAGATGAGTGTACGCAGGTAAGAATGTGTGTGACTATGTTGCTTGAATTTGTAAATGTGACGGAGTATTTGTGATTGATTTCGGTCAGGTCATCAGCGTGAGAAGGGATGAATGGAGATCTTCGTATTGGATGACTGATGTCCGTGGATAGGGTATTACCATCCGGATACGTAAGAGGCAGTGACTTTAGTTAGTGGCGAGTCACATTCGCCATGTCGCAGTGTTGTTAAGCAGATTTTTGTGGCTTTTTATAGGCCATAACGCTTGCAAGGCGGAAACCCACCACGTCTTGGTACACTGCCGCCGAACCATTAGGTGTAACGAGAATAACCCGAACCACCCAGCTGGCACCAAGAGGTTGTTGGTCGAGCCAGCTTGATCTCCGATTTTTTCATAAAGGAAATTCTATTGCATTAAATCATCCTGCTGTTTACCCCTTAAGGAGTTTGTTTTGGGCTCTGGTGCATATAAGTGTCAAGGCACTGTAATTGCTCCTGGTCTTCGGTGATGTTGGGGGCACGGTTATCGAGAGGTTTGTTGCTGTTTCTGCAGGTTGCACCCGGTCCTTGACTCGTTTTGCGGCTGTACCGGGTGAGGCTACTGAGGTCGCACTTTGATTATATCGAGCAGCAACGGTTGCATAAATGGATCGGTCTTTAGAGCGCTTCGGATTTCTTTGGTCAATCAGAAGGGTGGGTGCTACCGATGTTGCATCAGTTGATACGTTGGATAAGAGAATGTGGGCGGTGGAGCTAGGAATGTTTCTATCGTTCGCGACGACTTGGTCCCCAAGGTTTTTAGAACGGCGTGGCAGTACGAACGTCTGGCCCATTTTCTTGTTTTCGAGGTAGCAATTAGGGTAGACGGAAGGGATGCGAGCTGTGGTATTGTTGCCTCGAGCGAAGCAATTTTTGCGGTTAAACGATGCTCAATTTTGGCGACTAGACTGTCCTACGTCCGTGTTAGTGCTAGTACGCATTTTACAAGTGGAACCGCCGTACACTTAGGACAGAATTAAAGTGAGCATGGCGTATTATATACTTTAACTCACTTCGGCAGACTGACGCACTTCGGATGGTACCGACTAATGCAATTGGTATATGTAAAGCCAACTTTCACTCCCTTAGCATATGTTTGTTTAGCACGATATACACCGGTTTGGGTTACTTGTATTGTGGCCGCGATGACCGTTCCTCTGCTTGCGGGTACGTGGTGCGTCGCCCTTGCCTATTAGGTATTCGCCGATCGTCAAGGAAAGGTAAGCATATAAGGGCCTAGAATGGTCGGATGGAAGTAGAACGGAAGTATGAAGCCAGACGTAGGATCGTCACCAAATCCCTAAATCGACCATGCTGAGGGCTCTGAATCACTAATGGTTGAGAAGCTGAGGTACTAATCTCTATCGGTAGGGGAGACCCTGAAAAACCGAAAAGTTTCGGCTGGTAGAACGTGCATCGGACGTGGAACCCCAACTGTACACGACACTACGCGACAAGATGCAAACAAAAAGACAGCCTACCATATTAGGTGTAGTTGTCGAGCCGGCAGAACCAGATACACCGCTGTGGCTACCGAAATTTGTCAAGGTTCGCCACAGCCAGAAAGCCACCACACATCCAGAAAAGCGCTGAAGGATCACTTTGTCCTGCAACCAGCGCATATCTCCGAGCCCGAACCCGTGATGAGTCAGTGAGTTAAGTCAACGAGCCATAGAAAATTAACTACGAAGTTGGCATTCTGTACACAGTTTGAGAGCTCAGTGCACATCGAATTCGTGTAAGGTGCGAGCCAGCGCCGCTGGTTGAGTGAGCTAACTGAATACCAGTGTCGAAGAAACCAAAGTGACAGAGCGCACTGAGTTTGAGTGATCACAAAGGTAGACTGAAAACATGGATTACGCTGTTATGGAAGGTCCCCTGTGTGATAATCTGGGAAAAGGGAGGATGAAGACTGACGCCAATTCAGCCGTGATGGGTCATGGGCACAACAATTCGGACAGATTGACAATGCGTTTTTATGCACCCAGGAAGGGTGAATTTTCAGCCGTAGCAACAAGGGGAGTGAGCCACCGAGGTCCAGCACGTGACAATGGCCATACCTTAGTAGAATGCATGTATAGCGCTTTGAAATTCATCCTTAACACTAGAATGCCCGGAGCGATCATTTAGACCTCTCAGCGCTGTTATATGTGTATAGTTTGTACATTTGTAAAAATAATTTCAAGGATATTTCATGAATTAAGTATTTTTGTTCATGCGTTATAACTGTGATGTGTCACATTGATATATATTACGGTTTTGAGAGAAAAATAGTTGTGCTTTTGCCACCAAGAAAGCTTGCAGGTGGTCATAATGACCGCATTCCTCTAATTCGGTTTTTGCTTTCCTATCCAGTCGCCAATACTATTTCTGACTACAAATCCCAATTAGCAAGACAAAACGGCACCGAAATTGTGATATGTAGTGTCAGTAAACACGGGAGTAAAAACAAGACGATGCATGATTTCCCATTGATATTGTGCATTTGGTTTGAATAAATTTAGTGACATTTATTCAAAATGGCTCGTAGGAGGACAGCAAATGAGGTTTTACGAGAACTTACAGCTGTCGATTACAACGTGAATAAAAAAGGAGTCCGCAGAACACAGCATCTCTGAGAGTGACACTCCTCATGAGGACAGTGATGACGGCGAAAACTATGAGTGCATCAGCCGTTTCTGTATCTTTCAGTGAAGTTTGAATATCAAAGGACTCCAATAGAGTTCCGAACAACTACTGTTAGTAGCATGACAGCATGGAATCTACTGAAGTTGAGGCCAGGAGAGTTTTATGCGTCAGTTGTCAGCATTCATGATCTGAGTGCTTCCATTGGGATACTTTACATCAGAGGTTTCATGGGCTTGAAGATCATCATCATCATTACACACATCAGCTAGAGGTGGGAAAACACCTCCGCTATTGTGCATCAATTAACTGGGCTTGAAGAAGACATCATTGAATATGCTGTGGTGCGATAAATACGGATGGCCTATTTTCAAGAAAACAATTGGCAAGAACAGATTCAAGGAAATAATATTCTTCGTTTTGACAGGTGAATTATCAGAGGCGAAACACTGCAGACTGACAAGTTTGCTTTAACACCTGAATTTTGGAATATATTTATTCGCAACTCTCAACAGTGCTATGTGCCAGCGCAGAACCTCACCCTCGACGAGCAATCATTTCCCACCAAAACCCGCTGTCATTTTCCTCAGTACATGGATAGCAGACCTGATAAGTTCGGTATCGAGTTTTACACTCTGACAGAAGTAAACAGCAAATATTTCTTGAATGGATTTTCATAGCCTGGAAAGGAGAAATCTCGGCCACAAGAAGAAAGTATTCCAGAGAGCGTGGTATTGAGCCTCATGTCACGCTTCTTTGGATAAGGCCATAAGGTCACATGTGACAACTTCTCCACATCTGTGATGCGGCCATTCTGACCGGTCTCGAGTGTTATAGGGAAGTCGGCGGAACAGTTTTAGTGTTTGGGAAATCACGTTCATTCATCAATCTCTCAAAATGGCCCTTAACACCAGTAAATTGCACCTAACGGTAGCGAAGACACCTAAATACTACTGTTCATTGCGTGACCGATCCCAAACCAGCCGATGGCATCTCACTTTGTGTGCTCATCAGTTATATACTATCGGCTTTCGGAACGGTTGCACTCGGTGAGTGTAATTTGACAGCGTTAAGGACCATGTTGAGAAATCTATGAAGGAATATGATATCCCTAAGGAGAAATTTGAAAGCGCTATGGATGCGATTGGACATAAGTTTGCAATTCATCTAATATAGCGTTGCAATTTGAGCGAGATAACGCATAATTAAGAAAAGGACAATGATAAGCGTAGCTCGAGCTGGACAACATGCACGCTGGATGGAAACGATAAGCAGTGAGGTAGGTTGAATGTAAGTGGCACCATGGCACCTGTGACCAGAATACAATCGAACTTGAATCTAGCTGGTTGAACCAAATACAGCCGTTTCGCCAACGATGAAGATGACAGTCATTAGTGTGTAGCGGTAGTAGTAGCCTCGCGGGAATCGGAAACGTAAAACAAAAAACAGATTGAAACGAAGGTTCGTGTCACCGGAGTCCGCAACGTCATCAGCTTCCGGAATGTGGACCGTTAGATGCCCTAACGGTTGATATGCCGCAGTGCATCGTAAGCAGTAAGGAAGACCAGTTAGCGAAGCTTAGCTAGGCATAATACACAACGAAGCGACAGACTGAGGTGCTATGAGGGTCGGATCGAGTGTTCAGATAAGGGGCATGAAACATCGCTAACCATGCCATGGGAATATAAAAGCTCAACTAATTAAAGTAGCGCTGAATATTGAGAGGCGAATCAACAATTTGCAAAAGGGCGGGGGAAATGGAAGTAAGTACAGGCGATTCTCGAATGTCAGAGAAGAAATAGTAAACAAATAACGCATAGAAAGTAGTTAGTCCCAGATTCCCTAAGATGTCGGGATCAAGTGACCACAAGTAGTTCACAAAAAATATTTATGAGGTGGAAATGTGAAGGAACAAAAGTACAAGCTATTGTCTCAAAGTGTAGGAAAAATGCAGTCGGTCATCCTAAGAAAAATGAACACATAAGCCACCACGAAATGGAGGGTTATGTACAAAAATGGTCACCAAATAAGGAAATTGCGCCACACTGCGTGTAATTATTAGAGTGCAAGTAAAAAGCATCCAGTGGGTAAAAGACTGAAAACAACTGGTCCAGAAAATACCATCACCACAAAGGTATAATGTTCTCGAAAATTATTCAGGATCAGCTAATGTACTGATGCCAAAACGCGTCTCTGGAACGTTGACTTTTAGCACACAAGAGTAATAAAGATGGATATCGAAAAATGGACAATAAGGAAACAGCGTCCACAGAGGCGTAGGTCAAATATTAATCGCTGAATGTGAGTGAAAACGATACAAAAATAAGGTACGTCGAGAGAGAAGAGTAGGGTACAGGTTCAAGAATTAAATGATTAGATGAAGTTGAAACAATTATGTGGATGAGTGGAACGAGAACAAGCCGAAGTAGTTCACCAAATACGATGTATGTGTTAAGTAGCAATGGCAGAAGTAACGATCGGCGCAGAGGTGGAAGCAACAATTCCGAGAGTGGGCGAAACACACGTGATAGTTGGCCCGATTTGAAGATCAAGGTTGTTACATGCGTCATTATCAATGTGAACAGAGAGTGCAGTTTGAGAGGACTCGTTATCTGTCATTGAATGGTCCAGATATTGACCATCAGCGCTCATGGACGAGACCAGAGGGGCGATAGGCTGAAAAGAAACAACATGAAACATCTTTGGTTAACATACAACCCACTGATAATGGTAGTGCGATGTAGCATCAGGAAAAAACTTTACGCGAAAACATGTCGAGAACAAACGCCGAATCGCGAAAACATCCTGTTTGTGTTACGTCAAAGATGGAACCGAAACAGAACCCTCATGCTGCGTAAGGTAGTCTCGACGAAGCCAGTCCTCAGGGTGTTAAACTCGAAGGCATCGGAGTGAACAGGATTAAGGATATTGCTGATTCTAACACATATCGGACGCCATCGAGGACAAAAGCAATGCACAGACTGAAGCAAAGCAAGCACGACTGTGACTAGGGGAAGGCAAATATGAGAGCTCAAACGGAAAGAAACTAAACACAATAAACAGTTCTATGGTTTGAGGAGTCCCGTGTATCAACTAGAAAAAGACGATAAGATGATTATTGAAAGTTGGTACCGGTTCATTCCATCTTGGGAACATAATATTCGTCCGTGTAACAGAGAAAAACGTTTTGAACTCGGCCGGGAGGGAAGAAAAGTAGACACAAATCAACAAGCTGGGGACAAACGTCGCGAATATTAGAGATTCTTCAGAGCGAGGACTAGCTGATTCTGCGCGCAAGGAGCAATCTATCGCCGGTTAAAGGTCACGCGCTCGGAAAACACAAGCATTGTGGTGCTTTCATTTCGATAGACGACCACCGATGTCGAGACTGAGTTAACTTGATTACCTGCCAAGAGTAGGTGTCCACAGATGGATGTGGCTAGTAACTTGCCATCGTAGCAATCCGATTTGGAATATGACCTCCAATCCGCTGACTCAAACAGCGAGCGGATCTGCCAGTGTAAACACTTTTGCAGTCACAAACGAGGTGGCGAACGCAGTGAGCTTGGGAGACCGACTGAATACACTAGGCAGACGACGGCAGTTTTCTGATTACTAATGAATAGGAGGATTTCCGGTAAAATGTTCTGATTTGACCGTTGTTCACAAACCAGATAGTCAAAACCCCAATCCGGAAAACCACCAGACGATGATTCCGACCTAATGGGGGTTATCAGTGGTGCGCATTTCATCGGCCCCCCCCGGTGGGTGGTGAAACCCTGACCGCTAGCAGCATATGCCAGTGAGTCATAGGGGACGGAGGCAGACCGTCATAATCACAAAGCTAACTGGGATATGGTGCAACCTGTCCCTCACTGTCCTGCAGGTTCCTCTCATTTCAGAGGCCAATGGCTAGCCACCAGAGGTCACGCTTTCTACTAGACAGCAGCTACATACGCATAGCTTTTGAAGACTGAGGGTGTATGTTTGATTACTAGTGAGTAGGCGGTGGTCACCGCTGGCGAGCCCCAAAAGGGCGAGACGATCGTCTGGTGCTCCTCCAGACTGGCAGTTAGATCAGCTGGCTTGGGAAGAAATGGGACAATTCAGTAAAGTTTTCTGAACGTCGAAAGAAGACAGAGCTTGTGTATACAATGAAGTGCTGTAATTGCCCATCGTTCAGAGTGAGATGCTATATCACCTTTGACGAGTAGTTGTAGTAGTAGTGCAGTAGGTACACGGGCACTTTTGCACAACAAGGACTTAAGCTTATCGCTTACCATTAGCTAAGTGCGAAGTCCAACATCATCATCAGTACACGTTAGCTGAGGGTGAGAAACACACCTCAGCTAATGTGCCACAATACAAAAAGATAAGAGACTAAAATATTGCACTGCAAATAACACTACAAAAAATATGATAAATATTATATTATGCGTTTTGCATGAGATCGGGATTGGAGAGGGAACCTAAAGGGAGGGAGTGTTAGCGCAGAGGTGGATCCCTGCCCATCTTGGAGAAGTGCTTTGCAGTTAGATGGATCAAAGCATATCCCAAAACGATTAATAACCAGTGCTAATCGGTCCAGTGCTGCTTGGTATGCTTGGAAGCTGTCACAGATTAGTGTAATATCGTCCGCGTACTCCAAGTCAAAAAGTCACCTACTAGAAAGTAACTCCACATCTAGGTCGTGTCCAGCAAATGCTGTTTCCATGACTTCGTCAACTGCGAAGTTAAAAAGGAAAGGTGGCAGCGGGCAACATTTTCTCACACGCTGGTGATACTGAAGGGTGGCGACAGTTTGCCATAAACCCTCACTCTGCCCGAACTATGCGCGTACAGTGCTTTGATAATGTTTACGTATTTATCAGGCACACCTTTCCTCAGCAGACAGTCCCAAAGGGCACATCGATCGACTGAATCGAAGGCACCTTTTATGTCAAGAAACACGACAACGGTGGGTAGCCAAGAAACATGGCAGTGCTTCAACAATTGACGCAAAGTGAAGATGTGGTCGATGCAGCCCAGACCAGCAGTTTTGTAATGAAAAACAATTCCGTATATGCGGGTGTTCTCCGAGCTGGCTGATTTGGTTGCAAACGTTTCATCGTCAGACTAGACGACATCATCAGTGCGATTTATGCGGGCCACTTGCAGATCCAAGTGATTATTGATCACTTGATTCGAACGTCAGGAGTCGATTGGTCCACGTGAACTGACCGTGTAGTCAGCTCTCCCGTACTGTTGGCTAGAGTCCGCCTCAATGATGTTCCTTCGTCCAGTTGATCTGGGGCGGACTATTCTTTTGACCCTCAGTGTCTCATAGGCAGTGTCTAGATCTAAGTGCCTGTTGATTGAGTTCTCTCCCGAGTACCAAGCCTCGATGAACTCGCGTGCTTTTCGACTTTTTGCTCTGCCTATGATCCTGACATTCTCCAAATCAAATTGATGATTCTCGGCGTCTATATGTACCGACATCAGAGAGTTCTGATCATGTCGGCGGATGGCTAGGCAATGCTCACGTAGCCTAGTGCCGAACAGATCATCTGTTCGAAATGTTTGCACGGAATGGGTATCCTAGAAATTTCATTCTACGTTGTTTAACACCAATACAACGACCGACACAAGAACAAACATCAGAAACGGATAAAAGGACAATTACTCTACCATACATCAACGGCACAAGTGGTGTGATTTACAAAATCCACTGCAAAAATTGTAACAAATACTATGTGGGCCAGACAGGAAGAAAGCTCGGCACTAGGCTACATGAGCATAGCCTAGCCATCCGCCGACATGATCAGAACTCCCTGATGTCGGTACATATGGATGCCGAGAATCATCAGTTTGATTTGGAGAATGTCAGGATCATAGGCAGGGCAAAAACTCGAAAAGCACGCGAGTTCATCGAGGCTTGGTACTCGGGAAAGAACTCAATCAACCGACACTTAGACCTTGATACTGCCTATGAAGCACTGAGGGTTAAAACAATACTCCGCCCCAGATCAAAGAGACAAAGGAACATCATTGAGGCGGACTTTAGCTAATAGCACGCAAGAGTTGACTACACGGTCAGCTCACGTGGACCAATAGACTCCTGACGTTCGAATCAAGTGATCAATAATCACTTGGATCTGCAAGTGGCTCGCATAAATCGCACTGATGATGTCGTCTAGCCTGACGATGAAACGTCTGCAACCAAATCAACCAGCTCGGAGAACACCCGCATACCCTCATCCGCATCCCGAGCTACAAATATTCTCACGGATTTCTAATTCCGGCTAAAGTCATGAACAATGGGGGTTTAGGTGTCATTTAGATCGCAGTCACCTATCAGCCAAGCAGACTCCCACACGTCTGGAAAAGCACCAGACGGCCGTTTCAAAATCCTGGGTCCCGTCAATGGTGTGCGTTCCCCGGTAGTATGCCGGGTTCCAACCCCATGACTTCTGGACGCCAGCAGCTTCTAAGTGTCGTGTGGTACATAATCGTTATGCGGAAATTTGTAGCTTTGGGGCCAACCATTGTCTTCCGCACAGTTCGTAATTGGCATAACAGTGAAGGATGAGTCACGCTATATCGTAGGCAACTGTCGGTCATGCAGGTCTGACGCCGTTATACACGGCTTAGTGTCAGTGATGAGACCAAGAAGTTCAAAACGGATGTCTGGTGCTTGTACAGACATGTGGGAGCCTACGTGACTGAGAGGCGACCGCGAAGAACTACATCCGGATTCTGACTTTACAGACAGCAGTGAGAGTGATTAAACTGTGTCATGACGAGGCAACACTTACATTAGACAGATTTAGAAATGTAGGGGCTCCAGCACAGTCCGAAGCGCATAGCATTTCTGTAAACAGAACGATGTATCGAGTCATATACTAGTCTGGGAAATAATACATTCAGAAGAGCCAGATAATTGGTGCCATCCAGTTCTGAAGATGGCTAAGGCCGTGGATGATGTAAATACCCTTTACTGGAGACTTAGCGATGGCAACGGACCGGTAAAACCCGAAAGGATTACAGTGAGATATCTGAATACCGCCATGCGGACGAACAATACTATCAATACCGGATACAAAATTAAACACAGATTGGAATCAGCGAGCACATTTTCATACAGGTTTATTCAACACAGGTATACAAAGCAAATGGAGTCATTCAGTCGGAAAGCGATAGACAAAAAACTGGCGTAGAATCATGACAAACAATAATTTTTAGAAGGTGAATTGGAGTCGGGCACTATTGATTTATAAATGGCCTTGACACATTGCACGAAGAGTGCAAAGGGACAGAGGAATAAGTCTCGTGACGGCGTCCAAAATGGTTCAACCATGTGTATCAAAGTGCAAGACAAATACCGAGTAACGAATTCTTATCAGGAAGAGGCCCACGAGACGTGCAGACATGCTAAATGTACCAAGTTTGGCTGAATAGTGATTGGGAGGTTAAATTCAACGGCCGGATCGACAAAGCACACTCTCTGAAGACAATGAGTACAATGGAAAAATAGCTAGGTACCTCATTTTCACAATCAAGCAAAGGTTAGCAAGGATAACAAGAAAATGATTACGTAACAAGAATTGCGGGCCATAGTATAAATAGAGGATATACAAACTGCTTTTATACACATAGCTCAGGTTTGAGGTGACGAAGGGAGATAACCTCAACAAAAG